TTTCTGAATGGTCCTGTGTATCTAAGTTAGCATGCCAAATTGGTTGCTTATTACAGCTGGCACAGTGCCTTAGCAGGCTAATGTGTTAATAATGTGTAATGTTTCTCTTAGGCAATGGCACCACTCTTCATTAGCGCGTCTCAAGCCCTGTCACTGTTGCTTAGCTCGACATTTTGTTTCTGATGTTCGAGTGAGGGTATTTGAAATCAGGGTTTCAGATCTGCTAATACATGTCACACACTCTTTAAAAATGGATTTTAAAAGGGCCTCAATAATTTTATGGCTACTAATAACATTTGTAGCTATGTGAGCTAAGCTAATGATAAGAGTAATCAAATTTCATGTTTCACGGCATAAAATGAGCAACTGTAGGGGTCAGGAAGGTATTCACTCCCTGCCCTCCTCCCCTGGGAACCACTGTCTTTTCCGGTTGGTTCAGTAGATGAGCAGTGTTTGGGATGTGAAACAGCACAGTGCTGCAGGGAAGTTCAGGGTCTCACACTGTACAGAGCAAGGATCTTATTTATAAGCATCAGAATTCTGGTTTCCCTTAGCAAATGGAGCAAAACATTTGAATGATACATTTGTTTTACACTAATTATATCCCACGCTGGCATCAAATATATGAAGTTGAGCCGCCCAATTTTTGTGGCTGTTTGCTCAAGTTCCCTAAATTTGACATATGAGCCTCATATTTCTGAGTGGCCTCAGCTCGGCCAGGTAATCCATATTCTAATTTTTCAATCAATGAGGGTGCTTGTTCAGGCTTTCCTCAAATTTCTATGTTTTCACTCTCTCTATTAGCAAGTTTGTTTAGGGCATTTCTTCAGCACTGAGAATAACTGCGAATGGCATCCGAGGGAGCCTGGAGTCACCAGCAAACACCTTCCTTGGCAGGTACCACCACAGGGCCACAGTGGGATTTGGCAAGGCAACAACTTGTTTAACTGATGTCTGGTTTTGATAAAGACTTTCAGTCCCTTGTTTAGCCAAATAGCGCCTAGAGCACTTTCCAGCACCCATACTTTTAGTGTGATGTGTTTTTTAAAACCTTTTAGTGCATTGTGCCAGTGATGCAGTGATGAGCCTAAAAGGCCTCACTTAACACAACGTGTAATAAACCAGATTGTGCTGAATAAAAAAATCCAGCACAGACAGTCAAAAAGCTCTCTGTGTTTTTTAAGCAGAAAACCAGCTTTAATAATTAAAAAAAAATAAAGATATATTTTCCAGAAAACCTTGGCATCAGGCTTTGCCAAGAGTATTTTTTTAAGGCTTGGAGTAGATTGCCATAAGGGGGCTTCCTGGTACATCAGGGAACACAATGGGAAAGGCTGAAGTTAAAGACCCTTTAATTGAGGCCTTCAGAATGGTAAGTATAACACTTCATTGCTCTGTTTAGGGGATTTTGAGTATCTCTACCATCAAGGCTACATTTGTCTGTAGGATTAATCACTTTTTGATCCAGAGGGTTTAAGACAGACAGCTTACTAGGAATGTGCTGCATGGCTCTCCCAGGCTGGCAATTAGCTTTGTTTTTTTCATATTGTCTTGTTTATTATGCTCTTCTTCATCTCTTTTTTTTTTTTTCTGACCATCATGTTAATATACTAATTGATTTTTAATCCATTTTAATTCTATTTTTAGCTGTGCTTTTGGGGGATTTTTTTAACAGAGGACTTTTATTAAAATCTCTGTGTCAAATACAGAACAAGAAAAACTCCTGCTGCTGAGCAGAGAACAGGTCTGTACATAGATGACACTGCAAAGAAATCCTTGGAGAAACTCAAAGACATATTTTTGCTCTATTTTAGGGCTTTATCTCAAGACTTTCTGAGGTTCTCCTGCTCGTTGGAAAAATCATCAAGTATCTGAATGATGCCCAGTACCACTTAACTTGAACACAAACAGGCTTCTTTGGGACATCGTTTGTACCTCACATGAAAGAACAAAATGTGTCACTGGAGCTGTGTGTGTCCACTCAGGAAGCTGTCCCCTGCTCTCGACAGGCTGTTTTCTCCTACATATCACTGGCCCTGAATGGCAGAGAAAACACATAACCCTGTGCCCATACTCCTAGTCCTTTATGGGCTAGCACAGAAGGTGCAGGATGTCTTTATTTCCTCCTCACGTGTGCTGTTTGAATGGAGGGGTCAAGCAGGGAGGGGTTCCTGAGCTCTAGACCAAAAATGTCCATCAAGACTGTGGCTGGGAGGTATCCATGTGCAGTTCTCACATGGGATTACACTTGTATGGGACCTGTGAGCTGTCAGCAAATAACACAGCACTTGGCAAAGCCCCCCCAGACCTGGCAGCTTGCTTTGTGGTTGGAACCAACCCAAATGTCCTTGAGCGCTACCTAAGGGCTCGGATCTTTTCTATTTCCAGATGAGGCTTTACCCTGAATCTGCTGGGTGGCCTTGGTTAAGCAAGTTCACTGCTCTGCATCCACTTCCCGCTTGGGAACCTACGGGAAGGATGCTGACCACTTTTATACAGCATTTTTTTATACCCTGAGGACAAGCACAATCTCAGGACTGCACATTGTTGTGTAGAACAGCGCTCAGTTGATGTAACTACAGCATACCAAGCCAAAGCTTATTGAAATACATGGGACTGCAATGAAATGACTTTGGTCAGTTTTGGATCAGATGCTCAAAGCTGTAAAATTTGTTTTGACCTTCTGACATCTCCAGTGTGAAGTTACTAGCACAGTCAGAGCTGGATGCAGCACGAGCCACGCTTTTCTGTCACAGGCAGTTTGTCTTCCTTTTTCCTGGCTCTTCTTTTAATAAATGTAACTTTTTCTCCTATGGCTCAGGCATTGTGTTGAACCACCCCGACAAATGTTCTCAGGTTTTTAAAATATTCGGTATTAAAGAGATCAGGCCAGATGTGTTCTGCTGCCTTCATCACTCTAGGTTGTGTACTCTGTGTTGAAATGATTATTGTCATCACCCGGTGAAAGGCAGCTGATGAAAGACTCTCTCTCCCTCTGATGAGCTATCTATCCGCCCCTGCCCAGTGCAGAGTGCACAGGTTTTGTTTTTGAATGATATATTGCTGTGTCAAAGTGGCTTATGTGCTGCTTAAACTTATGCTGGTGAATGATAGAGAGTATGTATTAAACAATCTCACTGCAATGGGAGCTGTATTTTCTCATCTCCATCTTTGGGAGCACCAAAGCCAACCCCCCCCTCCATGAGCCCGGCAGGGACTCCTGGACAGGATGTCTGGGTACATCTGCCTTCACACTGGACATTTTCAAAGGAATACAATTGGATACCAACCATTTTAAGTCTTTCTAGAGGACACAATTGTCCTTTTTTCCCCACCCTATTCTGTTGATGAAGGAAACTGTTCTACATAACACATTTTGAAATGTTTTGGGTTTGGGTACCTTTCCCATAAAACCTTTTCTGTTCTCAAGTAGCGTAGCTTTTGTTTTCCCACTTGTCCCCCTTTTACTCCACTTTAATCCTATTTTTTCCAATTCTTTGCAAGGTTCAGCAACAATAGCTAAGAAGGGATAGAAGAAGAGGAAGCTGTAATATTTCTATTGTGAGACTATTGCCAAATTCCCAAATCATCTCCCAAGGAAAGGTTTGATGAACAAAATGTATTAAAACCACCATTTTGCCTTGAAAATGTTTTGAATGGAAAATTCAATTTTCAAAGCCTTCCACACTTCCACAGTCCTCCAGTGTATCTGGTGAATTCCAGCATTGCTGAGCAGAGCCCATAACATGAATAAGACCTTTCCAAACAACTGAGAATAATTAAAAAACCCAAAGTGCAGACATTTTCCCCGTGTAGTGACACAATCAAATACTTAACCAAAAATAATGTAATGAAAAGTCTAGGTCACAAAATGGAGTACTTCAGCCTGGAAAAACAGTTTTCTGACCTTCTGGATTTCCTCTATCAGAGCACTACCATGCAGTGAGCAAACCCTATTTCTTACAACAAAGAAATTTAGCAATCTGCGAGGCTGTGTCACCTTGCTGGCAGAAACACTGAGCGGCAATAGTGCTGAAAGTCAACACTAATAGCTGACACCAAATTAAACTGCCAGAGTTTGTGTGATGTAGTTCTGTCACCCTTTGACACATTTGATGTGAATTCAGAGGCTTCTGCTGTAAACTCATCAGCAGAGCTCATGACGCATCATCTTTACATATCTGTCCATCCACATTTGTCAGCAAACCGTGAGCCTCAAATGACTCCAGCCATTGGGATATAGATTGCTTTACCTTCAAGTATAGTAAATAGAGTGTTTTAACACTTGTGATACCCTCAGCTCCAGCTTTTAACTGACAGAGCCTTGTTAGCTGCACTTCAGCCTTTCTGTGTCCATGCTGAACATGGTGATTGATGAGGGCTGATTATGGCAGTGGGGTGGCCCATCCCTTCTTAACCTGTGGCTCAAATCATCTCCAGTTTGCCCATGCAGAAGAGCAGCAGGCACACTCCTAAGTGTCTTCATGAAGTGCCTGATTGAAAGGCCACAGCCAATTAGGTTGAGCTGAAATGGACACTTGCAGGATGTCTTTGCCTCTCAATTTACCGTGTGGTGCCTGCAGAGAGCAGGCATTAAAAAAGTGCTGATAGTCCTCACGTCTGCTTCACCCAACAGCTCTCAAACTCGGGGCTGGTGTTTCAGCCCAGGAAACATGGCAGGGTGGCTGTGCCCTCACTTCACGGCCTTGGACTAGGAATGGCCTCAGCAACCTGGGGGTCAGATGCTGGTGCAGCACACAGTGCTCACAAATGCATGTCATGCTGTTGAGGTGGTTGTTCACTAATGACAAATAGATAACCTCCCCCCCAAATAACATGGCATTTCAAAACACGAACAACCCTCCATGTGTATTTCTCCCTGGGCAATCTGAAAGGGATTTCTAATGTTTATTTTTCTGTAAACCATTTAGTATTTCTTCAGTTTCAGACTGATGTCTTTGGTTAAGAGTTCCTAGTTTTCCAACTAATTTTGGACTTACTGGGGTGTCCTCAGAAGGCAGCAGGGGTCTCCTCAGATGCTGGTGTGTGTGTGAGCGCTGGACTTGATATGATGGTCTGAGCAAATGCTGAAGAGACTCACCAGATCTGTGCCATGCTTGTGTCTCCCCTATGGACAAGAAAGGAAAAGGGAATGCACTTTCTGTTTATGTCTCCATGGTATTTAACCCATGTGTAAACTTCCATAGCATCTTATTTGCCACATATTGCCCCAGTAGGTTTAATATCATGAGTAATTTTCTTCCACTGACTAGCTTTGCTATCAGTGTAAATTACCACGGTGAGAAAACTGTATTTAGGCTCACAGGAGCAAAAAACAGACCAAGAACAATAAATCTGATTTTTTTTTATAAGTCTATTTTAACATACAGTTTAAAATACTAGCTTCATAAGGTAGTATGCATGCAACCATTCTTATTCAAGTGTGAGCTATAACAGAGTGGGAATAGAAACATGATACCCTACAAGAAAAACCACTCTATTTTCACCCTGTGTCTCCAAATCTCCTGCTTATATAGTACTGGTGTAAAAACATTGCTTGGTGTCCCAGGTTCCAATAACCCTTTGCACCGCTAAAATTGTTTCCAAAATATGGTAATAGAAGATTACACTTGCTCTGGAAAATTCTAAACTCTGTAAATTTGTAAAAAAATTGGGAAACAAGTATAAGCTTTAAAAATATTTCCCATCAACTGCCATTGCTGCTTTGTGACCTGCTTCATTTGGAAACTGCCGTGGAGTGCCATGGTGGAAGCAGTTCGAGATCTCAGACCCAGCACCTGGGATTTAATTTGACACCCTGAACATCACACTCTTGTCCTCTGGAAATGTCTTTCCCTGTTAGGATTCATCTGCAAGAACTGAGTACAGCATTAAAACACAATTTGGAAACAGACAATTCTTTCCTTGGCGTGGAGCTGCTCCCATTCCGGGTGCCTCAGGAACACCTGAGTGGCCAGGAAGGGCCTGAGTGGCCAAAGTGATGCAGCTGAGAGATAGAGCCAAAACCAGCACCAGCCTTCAGCCCACTGTGTCTTGGGGCATCTGGGGCTCACTCCACGTGCAAAGGGGATTGCAATGGAAATGCCGACAGCTCTTCATAATTATATCACCTAGATACCTCTGTAATTACTGTACAGAGACTTCTGGCATGCAAAAAATATTAGGGTGCATCTTGTGCCTGCCTTCTTTGATCTGCCTGTGTGGCAAAGCTCCCAAGGACAGGAAATCATCGCTTCTCCTCACGTGTTTTAAAACAACTAGTTGTGCTCTCAGCAGTTTGCAGTTACTTACTAGCAGCACTGCCAGTTGGATTAATTCAGTGCTTACTTCAATTTCCAGATTTCCTGTTAATAGACTGTAGAGTCCTGATGCCCAATGCAAGGTGCTCTATGGACTAGAGCTGTCTCTGCAGTGTCCCAGGGAGGAGAAACATTAAACCTGCACCTACAGAAACTATTTATAAATGCACCTGACTTTGGCTTTTGTGTCATGTCATCACTGGGACCAGGGCTGTTTGTCCTTTCTTGCACCTTCCAGGTTGCCAGCAGGGAAATGTAATTCCCTGTCTGCAAAGGGGCTTGTCCCACCTCCTGTATTTGGCACCTTCTGAAGTAACAAACAGTATAAGTCTTATGAGTACATTTTATGGCACTCTTGATCAGGTGAAGGTTTAAATCAGATGAGTTAAAATGGATCCTGAGAAGCAAAGCAGCCATTTCTGACATTACCTGGCCTATGGCCAGTACACCACAGCATTCCTGCAAATACATTGCTCATATGAGCAATAACTACCTGGAGATAACACTACACGACAAGCAAAAACACAGCAACTAAAAACCATGGGTGCAGTAAAGGGTACAACTCATGTGAGGCAGGCAGTGGTGACCAGGGAAGTGATGAGGCCCAGGGAGGTGTTCTCCACTCAGCCTACAGCTCTCAGTGTGGTAACTTTGTGCTGCATTTTCTTCTCTTTGGATGCAGTCTCCTACCCAGACTGCAGCAGCCCAGTAACATATCTCACACCAAGCCATGAGGTAACCGAACTCAGGGTGGTGCCCAGCCAGGACCAGGTGGGTTGTGTGCACGACAGATGGAGGGCTTCACAGCCTTGTCAGAGAAATATTTAAACAAAGTAATTTAAATAAGTTGTCTGGATAATTAGATATCGTAGCACCCTCTTCTGGCTCTCTGCATTCCCTGGATTGTGGCCACCTCTCTCCTTTGAGACCATTTGGCTCACATGGGTTTGCTGTTCACGGTTTTGGACTTGCATCGGTCCCAGTCCTCTCCCACTTTCTAGAACCACATGACTTTCTAAGAGAACCACTTTTCAAACTTGTGTTTCTCACACTAAGTCCCTTCACAATTAACCTTTTTGTGCAACTTTTTTAGAGCAAAATCTCCTTTCTTATTTTTTCAGTTGGTGACCACGGGAAAAAAAACCCTGACTTTGCACATTTTGTACAGTTCTGACTGTACTGCTATGAAGAGAGTTACTGCAAACCCATGAAACCAGAGGGAGATCCTGTGTGAGGAGCAGGGACTGCCACAGCTGGCAGAGTGGCCTCAGGGACCAGCAGAGTGGGGAGGGCCCTGCCACCCTCAGTGCTGCCACTAAGGCAGTTGGGGGCCAGTTTTGGGAGATGCTGCTCCCTCTCCTACACCCTCACTGTGAACCCAGAAACAAGCAATTGTAATTCATAATATGGGTGTGCAAAATTTTCTCTAAGAGCTAATTAACTGTGAGGGCTAATATTTCTGATTTAGGGTCCACGAATGTCATTATAGCATTATAAAATAAACTCTAGAAAAATAATGCACTTTTAAAATAAAACATTGCTTTCCTTTTACCCAGTAGGTTAAAGTACTTTGTTCCATGGTACCAGCTTTAAATTTTTCATGTCATGGTGAAAAGGAATTTTTTAATTATAATTTTAATGCATTTGACCATATTTCGTTATGATACATTTTGAACCCAACTTGTAAAGGTGTCAGAAGGAAATATGTCTATTCCATAGAAATATCTGAACCATAAGAACACAGCTGAAATAACATAGTGCTTTTAAAGGAGCCAATTATTTATTTCAACTGATATTACATCTGTCATTAGCACATGTGAAATATTTGTTGTATTATTAGGAAAGTTTCAAATTCTACAGTTTCAAAGCTCTCAGAATTTACAGGAACACAAGGTACCAAGTTATGGCTCCTCTGAAGCAGTTCTGGTGGCAAAAATCATCCTTAAATCCATTTTAACTACTTTCCCTTGCTTTCCCCTTCAGGTGACAAAGCCACCCCCCCATGCCCTGCACCACCCCACATTCTTCACTTTATTCCCTCGGGGCACTGAGCAGGTCAAACACTGTGTAAGTGGAAAGGGGATTATCTTTGCTTTGCAGGCTTAGCAGCTGAAGAGCAGAAATCATCACCACATCCCACTAGCAGCCAGCTGGGAGAGGGGCTGGGAGGTGTAGGAGGAAGGTGCTATCAGCACCCCGGGTAGCAGAGGGGCTCGTTGAGGGTCTCTGCTTGCATGGGGGCATTGTGGCCTCCCTGGGACACACATGGCAGCTGTTTGCCTGGGTGCTGCTGCCGTGGCTTTGTGTGCTTTGAGCCCAGCCAGGTCACAGACACTGGGCCTTGGGTTCATGGACTGTCATTTGACTCGTTTTTAGTGCCAAGACTGTGTGTGGGCAGAGAACACAGCAGCCAGGCTGAGCAGTTTTCCAAAGACCACTGAGGTGACTGCTCTGCAGCATTGCCCCTGCCAGCATGCACCTCTCATGATTGTGGGCTGCAGGTTGGGCTGCCTACTTGGAGCTGAAAACACTTGGCAGATGTTACCTGTACTAAACTCTGTGGATTTGTTGAAGCTGCAGCTTTGCTTTGTCTGTCTTGGCCCCACTCCTATAGAATGACCCATGTCTCTCCTCACTCTCCTTGCGAAGGCAGCAAAACTGTTGAAGTTATTTTTTTCCATTTTGGCTGCCTGGCTCAATCTATGGGGCTTAAAAACCCACTTAAATCACAGCATACTCATAGATCAGTGATAGCAGCACCACTGCTCTGACAGCAGCAGATCACAGTGAGTGTACCGAGGGGACATACGTGCAGCACCCAAGAAAAATGTTTTTCTATCGGGGATGCTCTGAAGCTGTGAATGAAAACACAGCTTCATCACCCTCCTGAGCACAGAGTTAGTGGGAAAAACTGCTTAGATGCTTGGCAGTCAGACAAGAGAGTGCCTCTTGGAGAGCAAAAGAGGAAAGGATCAGGATGGATATGATGAGGTTTTGATCAGCACAAGTAAAGAATTATCAGTAGCTTCTTCAGCTATGAGAAAAAAGAGGATTGCAGACGATATTACAGATTTAGATCTTCCTTTGTTATTTATACCATGAAACTTGGGTCTCCCTCAACCCTAAGCTAAATAAGAAGTCTCTGATACTTGGTATTTCCTTAACACTTTCTGTGCCAAGCTCCTCAAGACTCCTAAAAAACATCTCTTCGAAGCAGGACTCAGAGGTAGTACTTACTCAGACCTTTGGCTTAGTACTGGTGCTCACTCAGCCCAAATCACTCCTCAGCCCTTTTCGGTGGCTGCTTTTTGGTGGCAGCTTTTTGGCATATCTTGCTGATAACTCAGTATAGCTTATACACCTAATATGTCTAATCGGGTTGCTTTTCTCAACTGTCTCCCTCAAAATGGTTTAATGCAGGCATTTTTTGACATTTCTGCCTCAAATTTCCCCCTCCACCTTTATACCACTCAGTTTATACCTCCCTGCCGGGTGTGTGAGCCCCAGAAGCCAGTGCTGGAGGAGCACAGCTGATGGGAGGCTGCTGCCTTAATAAAAGCAGCAACAGCCTCCAGAAGCCCAACACTTTCTCCCTTTCAAGCAAACATCTCTTTCCCCATTTATGGTGGACCAAAGGTCGACGATAGCAGCTCTGCTGCTTCCAGGGCTCTGCTGAAATTTTATGCCCTGGAATTGCTGTCAAGTTTAATGTTCGCATTTTATATAATGAAATAGCAATTGTTCCAGCTCTGCAACCTGCATGAAATCACACTGAAAAGACCGAAAATTTCAGGTGAATTTT